TTTCCTGGTTACATCTTCAGGGCCTGGCCAATCAAATGGAGAAGAGTTGAAACCATAAAGAAGGCAGAAAGGAGGTTGGAAGCGCCGGAGAGGATTGGTTTGGCAGGTAAGTCTGCCATAATGTGCTAATATGCTGTGCATCCGACAGATTATGGCTCAGAGCTCTAGCCTCCCCCCACTTAAGCTGTGAGCCTTGACATAGACCAGTGGTGGCTAACGTTTGTGAGCTCTAGTGCCAAAACTGCAACGCAAAATCCATTTATCTCAAAGTCCACACACACTAAAAATAAGTAATTTTTTTAATGTATTTTAATTATTATTTCTTATTACTTGATTTTTTTTACATTTTGTATTTGTATTTATATTATTTACTTTATTTTTCTACTTAACTTTGTTGCTATCACACAGGAGCTAACAGTCCCCTGTGTGACCGCATTTGGAGGTGAGAGGTTCTCTTTATGGAACCTGTCACTTCCAATATAGGAGTTTTAGCACAGCGTTGTGCTGGCTCTCCTGTGACAGCTGGGATGGGAAGGCTGCAAGTGCAGCGTTCCCCTCTCACTGTTCACACAGAGCAGAGCGGAGAACCAACGTTCTCCCCTCTGCTTCCTGCTCTCCATCCTGAACTAATCTGCCATGGTCCCGGGACCCCCAGAAGAGCGGGGGACCCCCAAAAACCACGACGAGGAGGGAGACAGCTAGCAGTGGGGGCGGACCATGGAGAGAGGGCCAGACCAGCAAGCTTATTACAAGTGATCTTGGCGACATGGCCGAGGTCACTTGTACTAAACCAGAGGCGGCTTCCACGCTGTACATTAACCCCCAAAGTAGGCCTACATGTAGAAAAACTACCCGTCCAGCACCCAGTACTGCATATTTCATGCGTTGGGCGATACTAATTCACCTGCCTTGTCTGGCCAGCCACAGGTTCGCTGTCAGACAATAGACTGCGAGATAACTGTCTGTTCACCTTTGAACAAGTCTAATAATTGGCAGAATGTGGGACCTATGCAATGCAGGCACTGTACTCTTCAACTTTCCTCCAAGGAAGATGGAAGGCTCAGCTCCACCACACAGAGATATCATACCAGTTGTAAAAATGAAGATACAACTGTGTCTACCACTCCCGAGTGTGTAAAGGAGGCTATTTCAGAACATCGTCCACATATAGCAATGTTTTCATACCAGGAAGTTCCTGTGTTAGGCTAAAAGGAGAGTCATCCTTTGTAGTCTATTTCTGCACTGTTTTTCCTATTCTTGGCTTCCATACATCACATATCCTGCTGCAGGAATAGACTGCCTGCCGCGATTTGCTCACAGGTGAGTAGCTGAAACACAGCAAAGGCTCCAACTAAAGCAGCCTCCAGTTCTGATTTAGAGGCCGCCTTTGTCATATAAATATACACAATGCAAGCAGAGGCGAACCCAAAGTGCATGTGGTCCTGATATAGGAGGTCACACAAAAGCACAGATATTAAAAAGAAAAGAAAATACCATTATTGGCTGGAAATTCTGCCATGACTCCAATAGTCATTCCAGGTTCTTCTACTGTACATGCATTGGGTAACTTAACCCCTGCATTATCCAGGCAATGCAACTGATATTCAGAAATGTTGTATCATCTACAAAAATCGATTATGGAAATCTTTGTTGACAAAACAAACAGTCCACTATCACAAAATCCAGCCTCTGGACTAGGAATGCAATGATACCGAGTATTTGGCTGAGTATTCATGACTATATAATGACTCACCGCACGGCTTCCTGATTGGTCTAGAAGCTGGCTAATCAGGAAGCAAGGCGGCAAGTCATTACCCCAACCCCCCCCCCACCACCGGCTTCTTGATTAGCTAGAATGTCACCTCCATGCTTCCTCGTCACCTTGTGATGAGGTAACATGAAGCCGGCTTCTGGCCAATGAGGAAGCCGGGCGGGAAGTCATTACACGCCACCCGGCTTCCTTAATGGGACTTCCGGTATCGGTACTCTGTATCGAGTAGCAACAAAAAACATTGTTACTCGATAATCGAAAAAACGGTATCGGTGCATCCCTACTCTGGACCCAACTAAGGTTAAGGGCCTGTTCACACTGCCACGGTGTGATTAACGCATGCTACTGCACAACACACCTACCATACAGTGCAGCAGGTGCGCTGTGCTGCCATTCAAACTAACCCGACCTGACAGCACAGCGCAGAGTACAGCAATGCATAGGAGGTGCATTGGGGTGCCCTTCAAATGAATGACAACACACCTGTCGCAAGGGAGGTATGTTGTGTGGTAGCATGCATTAGTTGCACGGTATCGTGGAGGAAAAAATGCAGTGCCGCAGCGTGAATAGGACTTCAGTCTTAGATGGTCTGAGCTGTAACAAGTCTGAAGGTGCATGTGGTCAGATTTATAGCCTTGTTATTCCGCATAGCGGGATGCGTGGTTGGTAGGCCCACTGCAAGGAAGTTGTTTTTTTTCCTCCTGGAAATAGGCTTTAAAAGAAACCTGCAATGGGAAAATATGGGAGATACCAATGCTGACAGCTTCTCCTAGTGGTCTAGCTGGAAGGTCAAACTAGTCACTGCCAGCAACCAGATCACTTACCTGTGCCTCACAATCCGAATTTTGCTCAACAGTGTGGCACCAACATCACATAACACGATCACTTATAATATGGTTTTCACCTTTCCCATCCTTTGTGGTATCTCAGTGCTGCTGCTGATATCCTGCACACGCCTGCCCTCCAGCAATGGCTGCATGGCATTCCTCTTGGTGGGCTTTCTGATGGTGACAACAGTGGAACACGACTGTGCAATGTGCGTTGTCAGAGCTTCTTTGGGCCTATTTACACCAGGACCGTGCATTTAACACATCTGCATCACGTTGTGTTGCATTCAAGCAGCCGCTTCATTTAAATGTGCCGTCCAACACACCGATAAAACCAGACCTGCAGCATTTTCACCAGCGCAGCACACGACACCACATTGCAGTATTGTACCGCACACTGCAGTGCCTTGAGCTGTCATTCACAATGAATGGCACTGCAGCGCTCCAACACTGAGCCCTGCTACCCTATTAACAATAAAGCACCTTCACACAGGCGATCCATCAGTCTATTTCTGACCCCTGATTAGAAAAACGGACTGCAATGTATCCCTATAAGACATAAGAGGTTGCACATCCACCCATATCAGGGTCTGTCCAGATCGGTCAGACTGAACATGCAAAGTTTCTACCCGGGTCTGCTTTTAGGGCCCATTCACACCACATCCAGATCATATTAAGACCAGACTGTATCCGGACCCAAAATGCATCCTAATGTATCCCTATGCTATTTCTGGCCTCTGTTCACACCAGCACAGTCCGTTCCAGACCAGAAAAATACTGCAGGTCTCATTTTGTCTGGAATGCACTGCAACTGCGGCAAGTTCACACGATTTTCCGGACCAGATCTGAACCTGCCCTTAGGCCCCGTTTACACCTAGCCATGCGTAACGTCACACAAATATGGATTAGTTCACATGCATTTTTGCCACCGTTGTCACGCATCAGCCCATGGACGTTTAAACGGCTGTGTTTGGTGTGGCATTAACAACTAATGGCACCGCATGTAGCGAAAAGGCTTTAAAACGTGCCCTTTGGCACACGTTCACGCAACGCCAATGTGTGAATGGGGACTTGCTGATCTATTGGGGGCAGAGACAAGCAGTCACACATTTGTTTACATCTCGCCGGCCATAGTGATTACACAAGTCCATTTATCCTCCATCACAAGATAAAGGAAGAATCGGTACAGACACCAACGTCACATTGGTCTCCATTATCATGTGACTCAGCCAGGGATCGGTCTACGATCAGATGGGGCCCCTGTGTGAAAGTAAGGCCTCTGTCACACAGGGGTTCCGCCCGTCCGCTCTTCATCCCTCCGCTTCCGTATCCCTACGGGTGAGCGGACGTATGCAGATGACCAGCCAAGTCCGTAAAGCTCCATCAGATGAAACGGAAAAGGTTTGCGTCCTTTTCCATTTTTACGAATGGGTATACATCTGGTCCGTGAGGGCTCGTTCACACCAGCGGGCACAAGACATTGCCTACCTTTTTTTTTTTTTAAACTTTACTGAAATGTGACAATTGACATTCAGCTCCATGCACCCAGCAAAGCTAAGGTGAGGTGTGAGAAAAAGAAACATGTCTGCCCTTTTACGCCGCACAACCAACAAATGTTCTCTCTGTGCCCTAGCACTGAGCCAGCGCGGGTCTGGGCAGACGTACACAGGTCAGAGGTGTATGGTGGGATGGAGTCCTCCATGGAGCTGTACGGGAAGACCGGTCTGAAGCTGGACAGAAATGGGTTCTGTTGTCCGTTTCATTGACAATGTGGATGACGCTTGTGTGAAAAAGGACCCTGAGGGTTGTGCTGCTGATCCCGATTGAAAAGCAGAGCCCTCGTCCCTGGAAAATGATCACATGGAAGCACAGTCCACTCCCGGATCTGGACCCAGGGGACACCCACCATGAATGGCACCACCCCATGTCAAGAGGGGCTGGGAAGACCTAATGTCAGGCAGGAAGGGCCCCGGGAAGACCTAATGTCAGGCAGGAAGGGCCCCGGGAAGACCTGTCAGACTAGAAGGGCCCCGGGAAGACCTAATGTCAGGCAGGAAGGGCCCCAGGAAGACCTAATGTCAAGCAAGGAGGGGCCCCGGAAAGACGATCTCCGATCTAGTTAGATGTGGCTGTAATCCCATCAATAGGGCGGCCTGGACACTGATTAGAGATGGGGGAGGCACAGCACAGCGGACTCCATGCCACATGGACTCATAATACACAGGAATGCCAGGATATCCCACCATTCCACATCGCCGGGAGGTCCCCGGTGGAAGGTAAACCAAATGAGGGACAGTGAGGTTCCCTTCCCCGCCCTCACAGGCCTGTCCTGCACTACCAGAAGGGAAACATACAGAGCCGCCCCCCTTCTCCCTAACCGAGGCCTATCCAGGCCCGGGGACTCACCTGCTCCGAGCCGCCGTTGCTCACGCTGCCCTCGGCCTCCTGTGCGCTGGATGTGCAGTCAGTCCCCCTGCTCTCATTCAGATCCCTAGACGGGAGGAGGGGAGGGCGGGGCCAGAGTAGACAGGAGGGGGGAGAGGGCGGGGCCAGGAGAGATAACCGGAGAAGAGGGCGGAGACTAGAGGGGATGAAAGGGCGGGGTCGGGAAAGATGGACAGAGGAGAGGGCTGGTAGAGACAGGAAGAGACTAGAGGGGAGAAAAGAGCAACGCCAGTGAGTGACGTAACCGGAAGTAATGCGGTCCCACAACTCGATAAGTTCGTAGTTTTGATCGATCACCGGCTTAGGAGCACGTCCGCGACGTGTCTTTACACCCCGTCCACTCAGCCGAGATTGCCGGGTTGGCGGCGCTCCAGGTGTAAGATTTGCTGAATGATGAAGAATTTTACCGGACGGTAATGCAGCGAATATCGCAGGAAGGGAAGACATGTGCAGCACTGTCCTTATAATCATTGACTCTACTATACATGTATAAATGGGATCAGCTTCCTGTAATAAAGAGTAACAATGTTTCTGTGTATATATATATATCTATATATTGGGGGCAGCCATTTTGGACATCTGTGTCTCAGTTGGGGAGATTTCTCTGCACTTCCTGTCCTGTAGCTTCAACGGGAAGTGAGATGATGTCTAAGTGGAAACCCCTTCTTAGACAGTTGTCACAGGAAGTGTCCCCATTGGAAGGTTTCCCCTATATTCCTGTTCTGGAGGCAATTTTGGCTGTGCTGCCACTTACACCGCCGGTGATATTGGTGATCAGGATAATTAAAGTGAATCTTTGTATCAGACAGCAATGCAAACCTGACTGCTTCTAATCCTCAATAGCAGAACTGGTTGGCTCCTCCTACACAGGGGATATGAGAAGCGGACACCGAGAATGGCTATTTATAAGCAATTCGTAGAGCCGTTCTCTCTGCCAGTCTCTGGGAACGTTCGTTCTTTGCAAATAGAGGTAAAAATGAACATTCTTATATTGTTGAATGTAATACCGCATTATGGCCACTAGGTGGCATGTGAATAGAGCCATAAACGTTTGTTTTTGCCTCTATTCGCACATACTGATTGTTCGCAGGGCGAATGGCTCTGCAAACTGTTTATAAATAAATGCACTAGGTGTCGGCTGATCTGGGTATTTCAGAACCGATTACAATTATGGACCACCTTTTAATAACTGACATCGGGTACCAATACTCTGTTTACATCCGTCTGCAGAATCTTGCCCTGTCAGATGAACATATATCCCGGCTTGCTATTTGACCGTTCCCATCCCCTCCTCCACTGCTAGAATGGTATGTCCCAAAGCATCCTCACGTCCTATACCATGTGTATAGCACGTGATGACTCAGGGACCTTAGACGGCTGCAGCGGAGGGGGAGTGAGGAGGAAGGGACCGGTCTAAGAGCGAGTCGGCTTGAAAGATCGGGCGAATGTAACTTTTTTCTTTCAGGACCTAGACAAAAACAAGCGCTTAACCCTTTGCAGTGCAGGGGGGGGTAGCCCCACGGCAAGGGGGCAGGAAAAGTTCTGCTTTAAGAGGTTACTGGCACATGTATGTCTTATCTTGGTGTCATTTTTGTAATTTGTGAGCCTAGGTGCACTGACTGCAGACACGCAGGGTGGCTGATGTACATATGACACAAGGGTAGGCCACCTCGGCATTCCAGCTGCGGTGCAATTACAAATCTCATCATGCCTCTGGGACAGTGGCGTCACGCGGGGGGGGTGCGGCCCACACCCAGGTGACACCCTTGCAGGGGTGACACCAAAATGACTGACAGTCGGGCACTCGGTCCATAGTGCCAGGGGAGAGGAGGGGACCTGGCGGCATACCTCATTCCGCTGGCTGAACGTCCCCTCCTCTCTCTGCCATCACCAAGATGGCCGCCGGCAGGCCTCTTTGAGATGGCTGTGCATGCGCTATGATGTCATTGCGCAGGCGCGAGGTGTCGGTTTTGCAATGCCTTATGGGGCTTGTAGTTCCGCAACAGCTGGAGCGCCGAGGTTGCAACTTGTCCAGGATTCACCCGGACAGTCCGGGTTTTGAATGCTGTGTCCGGGTTTCCTGGCAGCAGAAACCCGGACACAAGATGTCAGGCAGACAGGGGCAACCAAAATGAAGATAGGGGCTACCGGCCCCCCACTGAAAATAATATCACCTGTGATATTTATATATGAATATGCCATGACTCATTCTCCCCAAAAATGTCTGTGTGTCACTAGAGCAAGGGTAGTCCAACTCCGGCTCTACAGCTGTGGTGGAACTACAAATCCCATGAGGCATTGCAAGATTCTCACAGCCACAGACATGACTCCCGGAGAGAGATGCCTCATGGGATTTGTAGTTTCCCCACAGCTGGAGGGCCGGAGTATGGCTACTCTGCGCTAGAGTGTTCGGGTTTCGCTTGAAGAAAAAGGTGACAACCCTAGTTGCCTCCCCCTGACACATGATACACAAGTCTGTCTGGCAAGCCACCTTTCCCTTTGTAGCTGTCAGGAGGGGTGAATGCGGATTCCCCGTCAGCTGCTGGAGGATGAAGTGGATGCAGCGTTCGGCAGCACAGTGCTCAGTACCAGCATGCTCTCTCTTGTAGAACTGGATTTTTTTCATGTCTCATGTCTGTGGCGTGGCCGATGTACTGGTTCCAACCTGCATGAGTAACATTTTGCCAAAAGGTGGTTCTCCCATAAAGTAGAATGGTTGCGCAGACATGCGTTTCTATGCAGCCTCAGCTACAGTTACAGACTTGTTTTATCTTATTCTGAATAAAGTAGGTTAGGGGTTAAATCTCCCATCAGGTTTGTATTGCTTTTATCTGTTTTGTTATGTTGGGGAGATGCACCTTCTATTTTTTCCAGGTGTCAGAAACATGACTATGGAAAGATTTCTTCTCACTTCCTGTGGTGACTATGGAACAGCAAGTGAAGGGAAATCTCCCCCACATGACATAGATGGCAAACAAGACAGTGGTTTATTATTATTTATTTATTACTGGTGTTTATAAAGGCGCTGACATGTTACGCAGCGCTTTATGCTCGGTTCACACCTGGGCGTGCGGAATATGCGCGTTTTCCGCGTGTTTTTGCCGGTAAAAGATACGCGCGTTTACGAGGGCTATCCGGCTGTATCCTAACGGACACACGCGGAAAATACGCCCCAAAGAAGCTCCTGTACTTCTTTGGGCGTAGGGCGTTTTTCAGCGCGTTCCTACGCGCTGAAATACGCCCAGGTGGGAACCATGGCCATAGTCAATCATTGGTTTTCACATGCTGAGCGTTTTACAGCGCGTCAATCATCGCTGTAAAACGTCCAGGTGTGGACCATGCCTTACAGTGCACATTGACATCAGCCCCTGTCCTCGGGGCCGGTTCACAACATAAACAGGTAAGGGAATTTATCAAAACTGGAGCAGGCAATATCTGAAGCAGTTGTGCACGGCAACCAATCAGCTTCTCTCTTTCATTTTCAAATCTTATATGAACAAATTGAAGAGAGAAGCCGATTGGTTGCCGTGCACAGCTGCTCCAGATTTTTGTCTGCTCCAGTTTTGATAAATTCCCCCCAGTGTGTTCCAGAGCGGTCAGCCTATGGAACGCACTGTATCGCACACCGGCCGGCTTCTTGTGTTCAGGGGTGGGAGGGGGCGTGGCACTGCATTTAAGTCAATGGCACTGCAGCCTCAGCGCTATCGCGTGCACCAGAATGCGTGGCACATCAGTGCCTGCGTTCCGGTCCAGTGCAATCTGCAAAAATAGTGCTTGGAGCATTTTTGCAGATTGCACTGGGCCAGAACGCAGGCACTGATGTGCCACGCGTTCTGGTGCGGGCGGGGGGCAAGGCTGCGGTGCCATTGACTTCAACGTACCGCTACGCCCCAGAAAGCTGGCTGGAATGCGATACAGTGCGTTCCAGAGGCTGACCGCTCTGGAACGTACTGTTTATGGTGAAAACCGGTCTTCAAGGAGCCTACAGTCTAAGGTACCTACTGTACATGCATACAAGGGCCAATTTAGACGGGAGTCAACTGACCTTCCAGCGTGTTTTTGGAGTGTGCGAGGAAACCGGAGTTCTATTCCTTACTGCATCCAAAATGGAAACAAAAGGTTTGGCTTTAGATATATTTTGCATTCACTTGCAACGTGCCTTTGTACTTACTAGAAAGTTTGACTACTTCAGGAACAGTCAAGGGGGAATTTTATCAAAACTAGAGCAGACAAAATCTGGAGCAGCTGTCCATGGCAACCAATCAGCTTCTCTCTTCAGTTTGTTCAGTTAAGGTTTGAAAATGAAAGATAGAAGCTGATTGGTTGTCATGCACAGCTGCCCCAGATTCTGTCTGCTCCAGTTTTGATACATTTCCCCATCGGTTCCCAAGCACAGCTCCTTCCCTCCTTGTGCACCATAGCCCTCTCCTCTTCTGGGAATGTCCATGGTCTTTTATGTAGCCATCAGGGAAGGAACGCACCAGAATATTATAGAGTGTCACTTGAGTCTGTTGGGGCTGCTGCTATCACATTCAAGATGGCGTCACCCAGCAGCGGTCTGAGAAAGAAACTCAGACAATGAAAACTGGCCCCCACCATCAAAGGCGAGTGGAGAAATGCCCCCCTCCCAGGTGGTCAGCGACGTGCCCCATTACATTGGTGGCCAGCGGAATAGTGCACCCTTAGATAGGTGGTTGGTATAGAAGAGCTCTTTAAAATTTTAGTTCAGCAGAAAAGTGTCCACTTACATTGGTGGTTACTATAGTGCTTCCATACACTGGTGGTCTGTGGGAAAAGGACCTTCTAACATGGGTGGTCAGTGGGAAGAAATGGGGGTCAATAAGAGGAATGGCCCATGAATTGGTGGCCAGTGGAAGCAATGTCCTTCTTTCGGAGAGCTAAAAAGCACAAGGTGTCTGTGGTTACTTACCTGATAAACAAGAGGAGAGGCTCCACTGTTCTCATACCACTGGCTCTGCATAGTTCCAACACCAACGTTGGGCAAGAAATTAATTTACCACTTACTATCAATTACTACTACAGGTGCACTGAAAGTATGTTTACCATGTCCATAATAATGAATGAACAGGAAGTGATGTAGATCACTTCCCATTCATTCATAATTGAGGATATAGTAAACATACTCTGTCATCAATTATTTACAAACACTCAGCGATCACTGACTGCTGTACCCGCTCTCCATCCTGACACACTATCACAGGAGGCTGGGCGGTGCGAGAGGAAAGCTCAGCCTCCTCTGACAGCAATGGCTGTCTCCGCCCACACCGCCGCTCTCCTCTGATCTGTGGCAGGAGGCGGAGGGGGGAGGAGAGACGCCGGATGCTCACAGCGCTCTCCTCCCGCAGCGCTAGGCCTCCTGTGACAGTTTCTCTCTCCTTCCCGCTGGGACACAGAGCAGCACCCAGCGGGGAGGATAGAAAGAACGGATGAACCGCTATTTCGGCCAAAAAGATGGCACTTTCGGCATTTTGCCACAAGTGACATTTTCGGCCGATATGTTTCGGCGGCCGATATATCATTGCATCCCTACTACCTAGATATGTGATGTAGTCACTGTTCTATTTGTATAATCTGTTTTAGATAGGTTTAGAGACTTATTCCACCTATCTTGAGAGAGATACAGAGGTAGCCCCTGGTGGCCTTCTGAAAATGCTCATTGCCTAGCTGTTATGATGCTCCTGCAGCATCACGTGACCCAGAACAGGTATGCTCTAAGTGAAATCCAAATGCCTCATCTACACATGCATTCTGAATCAGACGCCCATAAAGTTTGAAAAGCCATTGGAGAAGCATGTAGCATTTCCAGAAGGAAAGATAGCAATAGTAACCTATATACAGTACATCCACCTGAACAGGCTTGCTTTAATGCCTCCAGTACGTATTAGGAACGACCTGAGCAGCGCACAAATCATTCTCATATTACCGCCAGGCTTTGCTGTTACATAGAATGTCTTTGTGGGAGTGTACTATGGAAGCTATGAAAGTAATGTCTATTGTCTTGTGGAGGTGTTATATATAACTCTACTACCTGCCTCCGGCCTTTCTACACATTCCTGCATGCCACTTCCCCTCTTAAAGCACACAGCTGTCACATTTCTGCATGTATACTCTGACACAGAAACATCCTTGGCATGTGGAAGACCAAATCTTTCAGTTTATACTCAAAGCGCTGCACAAAAGCAAAGCACACATTAAACATTGATCAGGACAAAGTATAAAACATCTCCACTAAGAAAGCATCATACAGCAGAACTGAAGCCAAAACTTTTTTTTGCTTAGTTTTGGATAGGGTAAGGGAGGGTCATAACTAAGGATGCACCAATACTAGTATCGGTATCGGGGCTGATACCGAGTATTTGGGCAAGTACTCGCCCAAATGCTCCAATATTTACCTCCAATACCAGAACTTCTGGTCAGAGAGAGATCTTCCTCCAACCGGCAGTACCGAGGGAGCATGGAACCGGCTTCCTTTCCCATCAGGAAGATGGGCGGTGGGTTATGACCCGCCTCCCGGCTTCCTGATTGGTCAGACTGCCTAGCACCAGTAAAGCCGGCTTCCTAGCCAATCAAGAAGCCAGGAGGAGGATCATGTGTCGCCCAGCTTCCTGCTTGGCTTCACTTGTTGCTAGGCAGCCTGACCAATCAGGAAGTCAGACGACATCTCATGACTCGCCGCCCGGATTCCTGAGTGGTCAGGAAGCCAGGCAGCCTCAGGAAGTGAAGCCGGTGTTCTTTCAATAGAACACCAGTGTATACGTACTACACACCAATAAAGTATTAAAATGAACTTAGGTCAGACTAATCCAGCATGTTAGTCATCTGAGTTGTCCCACTCAATATGGCTGCCGCTTGCGGCCATATTGAGTGGGGCAACTCACATTAATTAGGTACCAAGACACTATCTAGTTCAAAGTACAAAATGCTTAATTTTATTTAGTGTATATAAATAAAAGATAACTAACAGCATATACTTACATTTTACACACTCTCCAATCATATTATATCCCCATCTCACACCCATTCACCGTATACATTCTTCCATATACACAAATCCCATAAATGATCATATGTCGAAAGCGAGAGATTAGAGATATTTTTCGATGTGTTTCTCGATTATAGAATTCCACTTCTTCAGGAGTACAGTTGGGGATATTCTACAATATCATATTAAAATACATTATTATCATATAGCTTGAACCAATGTATATCCAGAATGACTGATGTAAATATGTCTTTTAAGGCTGTAGATGGTGGCCCGGTTTTGGAATAAGGTATAATAAAATATTTAACTTGACATAAATGATATATCAGAAAAGAATGGTGACCATGTAGCTCTTCATTTTCGTTTGTTTTTGACCCGCAATGCAGAGCTCTAGGCCTGAGCAGCCAATAATTGGTTCCCCTGCACTGTCACATGGGGTAAACTGGGCGCAAACAGTGTGTCATTACTGACAGTGCAGGGTACGGTCAGCAGAACCGTTCCTATAATGAGACAGCCTTAGACTGTTGCCTCAGGCGGCATTTCTTTGGGTCACGTGGGTGGTGGCAAGCAGAGCAGCATGGCCACTCTACTTCACAATGTTTGCAGTGTGCCTTTTGCCCCCTTTCTGGCCAGAGCGTCCCAATTTGCTGTAAGCTGGGCAACCTGGGACACTCTGTGACTATTCAGTCCCAGAATGCAAATCGTTCTGCGATTGGAGGAGGGGGATCCTGTCTTTCATCTGCCTGTCCTCCATTCACGGAACGCATGCATTCAGGAAGAGAATACTATGAGTTCTGGGTGAGAGAGGAGGGCAAGCTGTGCCTATGCTTCACAGTCGCAGCTGCTGATCTTAACCTCCTGCGGTGCCAGAAGTTCAGTGCTATGGGGTGTATACCGGCGTCAATGGGGGTGAAATTCATAGCATTTTGTAAATGTATATTTGTTTATAACAATAAGTAGCAGCTAGCTGGACATTGGACACACTTCATTAGAGGTAAGTCATGTCCCTGGTGCTGTATACTCAAAAAATGAAACTAAACCTTAGCTTTAAAGGTTATAGATCACTGGATAATATCTGATATCTAACTGGCAAGATTTGAAAAGAATTGGCCCATGGCGTGCCAGCGATCCGGTCACCGGCAACAACTCACCAGAGACAATATCGCTATGCAGCGCAGATAAATACTCACCTGTTTTCATACATTGCTCTCTAGCTGGCTGGATGATTGAGGCCTTAAACACTTGCTGTTGAATATCACTTGCCAGCCATGGAGGAACAGCTTACTTATGCGGCCACTGAAGGAGCAGGCAAGTATTTCCCATCCCTGAAATGCAATCCATGACGCTGGCGATTCGTTGCCATCATTAGTCTCTATGGCTCTTCCAAAATGTTTCATGGCCTAAACCCAACACAAAACCATCTCCACCAAGAGGGATCAGTGACAGGTGCTGGATGATAATTAGAACACATGAGTGCAGATTGGTATTAAAGGGTTGTTCTGGTTGGACTGATCCTGACATCTCTTCTTAGAACAGGTGAAAGAAGCAAGCAATCAACATTTTGTCTATAATCAACAACGCTGCAGCCCATCCAACCAAGCTTTGAAATAATGCATCCTGGGAAGTGTCTTTCTTGTGAGAAACTTCTTGCTGAGTTTGGAAGAAGTCTTACAAAATGGACGAGGAGTCCTCTCTGGAACGGTACTTAGACCAATGTGAAGCTCAGGTAAATCTATCTGTCCTGGTCAGTGTCATTTATACATTGAGCAGAGTCATTATCTGCACACGCTGCAATGCACATTAAGGAAATGGAATGTATTTTTGCTCCTTCTGTAAACAATAAAATCTGCATGTTAATGCAATGCATGAATAAATGTATATCAATGCAACGCCAAAGGATATAAATGCATGTCAGCATGTGCACATTTAGCAAGCGTCGGCATGTGCCAAATGCAATGGAAATGTTGTGAATCAGCCCTAAGGCTATGTTCACACCATGTCTGGAGCAGATCTTCCAACGCAGTGCAGGGCATTTTTGCCGTGATGTTACCGTGATTTATCCACGTCACAGTACAGTGAATTTTTGTTTTATTTTCCATATATAACCCACTGGAATGACACGTTTTCATGGCAACCAAAGATATTGTCTTATTGTCCTTGAAGATGAAACCTTCCTGCTTGTTGTTCACAATAGCTGTGTGTTGTGTTGCAAAAAGGTAATACATGCAATACTTTGGGCGCGGGGGGTGCGTATGGTGTGGGTTTTTTGTTACCCAGCACAACATATGCTGTGGTGTGCATGGCCCCCAAGACAGTGAACAAGCCCCCTAGCAACTGGTTATAGTTTATTGAACATAGCCAAAAAGCATATCCTCTGCCATAAAAGTAATACATTTGTTCTGGTCATGTTTTAAGAATTCTATCTCACTGGCTGTCATGCTGATCCATTGGCTTCAATTTTTTTTACTTTCTGGCCTTATTTGATTGATCTAGGGCAGTTAATTAAGGAATAAGGACAGACAGCCGGGAGACTTAACATTTTCAGGATGTCAGTAAATGCAGCCTACATATGACTGGTGTGCTTTTAGATATCTTTACTATTCGGCCTGACATTTGTACCTTGTCCACAGTGCATGTGGCTCGGAGCTTCATTTGTACTAGTGGTAAGCCCAGGGATCTCAAGTCTCCCTGATGTTCATTTATATATATATAGATATATAGATATATAGATATATAGATATATAGATATAGATATATCTATTATTATTTCCTTTTATATTCTGACGACCGCTGTAAAAAAAAACAACCAAAAAACAGAAAGGGCACCTCCCTGAAATGAGACGGCAAACCTCCCTGAAATAAGGTTTTGCAGGTTGGGATGTCTGTAAGCCTGTCGATGAGCAGGTGACCTGCACTGAAGGTTCAGTGAACCTCTTTACCAAGTGTGTGTGTTGTTGCCCTTTACCCATTTACTCTACTCTATTAAAAACGAAATAAAACATTTTGTTTATAAATACTTTAATATCCATTGATCATTCTGTTCCAGAAAGTGAGTGAAGCATATTAGACCAGTCTGCCTGCTCTGGAATTTCATTACTATGAACAATAAGCACTCCAGCCTGGTAAAAGCAAACCAAGGTGATGATCAAGAAATATGTAACCTGTTGAAACACACACCCGGGCAATATACACCTGTGTGCTGCTGTTTTGCATGTTTCTGCTGCCACCTAGAGTGTTTCAATAGGATGATCTTTCCTGCTTGCAATGTCTTCAGGAATGACCATTCATGTAAACGCCTGTCCGTGACCAGTACTACGGTAGTCACATGTGCAATAAATGTGTCGTGCTTTTTTTCCTCCCCAAAAGTAATAATGTTAAAAGCGATTTGTCTCATACTGTGTATACACCAGCATGCCCTTGGTATGTCAGAATAAAGCAAATCTAGTGTGAAAAGAGATGAGGTACATTATTGATTATTCTCCCAAGGATTTTCTAAAATGGCATAGGCAGCTTTGTTGGTGCTCCTAGAAAAGAGGACAATTTGGATCACAGTGATGGTTATTCTGCTGTTTGGTGTCCATGTGTGCACCACACAACACGGACCAGAGAAAGCAAAATAGTGACTTGACTAGGGAAATCAGAAAATATATTGTTAAAGGCTTGAAGTACAGTTGCAAACATTACGTATAAGGTTAATGGGAGCCAAGGAAAACCTCCAAAATCATGTAAGTGGAACTTCAAGGTCGGGTACATTAGTGTCTGATTGAACGAACTGTACATTTCTGATAGACGGTGGATTCAATGTAAGAAGACCTGGGAGAACTTCACTTTTGAAAGGAAAACATAAAGCCATACTGGAATTTGCTGAAATGCATGTTTACAAGCCATAATGCTTCTACAAGAATGTCCTTTGGGCAGATGAGACAAAACTGGAGCTTTTTGGCAAGTCATATTAGTTCTATATTCAGATGAAAAAAATGAAGCTTTGAGGGCAAGTTCATACCACAAACAGTGCATTCCAGCCTGATTTTGTGCCGGAACGCGCTGGATCATATCCCGGCCAGCTCCCTGTGTTCAGGGGAGGGGGTGTGGCGGTGCAGTGAAGTCAATGGCACCACAGCCACCCCAGCCGCAGTGTGATCGCCCACACCCAAACGCATGGCACATCGATGCCTGTGGTACGGTCAGAAATAAATGCTGCAAGCACTATTAATTTTTTTTTTCCTGACCGCACCAAATCGGGCCGGAACGCACTGCTTGTGGTGTGAACTAGCCCTGAAAGAAAAGACCATACAGTACACTACTGTTGAGCATGGTGGAGGCTTGATTATGTTTTGGGGCTGCTTTGCTGTATTGGCAAAGGGTGCCTTGAATCTTTGAAGGGCACAATGAAAATCTCAAGACTTTCAAGGATCTATGAAGTACTGCCCAGTGTTGGAAAGCTTTTAGTTGAAGGTCATGGGTCCTTCACCATGACAATGACTCAAACCACACAGCTAAAAACACAGAAGAATGGCTAAGAACAACATTGGACTGTTCTCAAGTGGCCTTCTTTGAGCCCTGATTTTAATCCAATTAAACATCTCTGGAAAGAGCTGAAACATGTAGTATGGAAAAGGCACCCTTCAAACCCTAGACGCCTAGAGCAGTTTGCCCAAGAAGAGCGGACCATACTACCTGTTGGCAGGTGCAGAAGTTTCAGAAATGGCTGGTTTGCAGTGAATGTTTTTAAAGGTTGTGTAACAAAATGTTAAATTAAGGGTCCCATCATTTTTGTCCATGCCGTTTGCGCAAAAAAAACATTAAATAGTGGGATTTTCCTCCCAACTTATTGCCTACTATGAAGGCACGTCCACTGCATTTAGTAACCTTTTGTGACCTACCCAACTGAACTAAGCAATTTGAATTACCTTAGTTCACCTACCTGATTTGCTGCTGAAACCCCCTCTACCAGAACTTGTCACAGAGAGGATTTGGACAGATGCATGTTGAACAAGCTTGCAGCTTGAAACGTATTCTAGGCAGGTAAATGAACACTTCTTTTCTGGTACAAGAGGTCAAACCGAATTCCTACACAATCTTGGGACCCATTTGCTGCTCTTACATTTCCCTTTTTCCTTTTCTAGACACTTCCTTTAGTGAAAACATTCCAAAGAATCCAAGAAACCACCCCTGCAATGGTCCAGAGACCAAGATCACGCTCCAACATGCATAGACAACTATCTATTCAGCCATATATGCACCATTTTTTGTGGCTTTCTCAGATATTCTCCTTGTTCATGAGTTTGTGCTATTCTCTGGGAATTTTCATATTCTCATCACAATTTATCTTTGAAGTTTTGAATCTGTCGTATTGTTGTCGTCCGTATTTTGTTAATCCATCCTGGTTTGTACCCTATGAGCGGAAGTCGCTGCATTTGATCCCCATGTTTACCCACTAAGGGACTTCAGAGGTTCCACCAGCACTGAACCACTTAGTATAAGCAGTAAAACGTGCATTAACACCTAGTCATACTCCTTTTTCGTCACTAGATGGAGTTGCCTCCACTATAGTGTGTGTCTTCTCCTTCCTGACTCCTTATTATACAGGATTTATATAGAGCAAACAGTTTATGCAGCACCTTAAAAAAATATATATAAATAAAAATGGAGGGAGACAGTACAGTTGCAATACAATTTCAATATAGGATGGTTAGGATGGGCCTGCTTATGAGCTTACAATCAAGTAGCAGGGGCAAGTAATACAAAAGGTAATAATTGTGTCTGGGATGGGTAATGGATGAAGTAAAAGGACTGTTATGTTGAGGTGGGATAGGCATCTCTGAAGAGATTAGTTTTATCAAGGATCACCTAAAGGTGGATGGCATAGGACATAAGTGAACATATTGGGGTGGGGAGTTCAAGAGGATGGGAGACACTGGAGAAGTCCTGGAGGTGATGAGAAAGTTGGAGCGTAGGAAGCCTTGAGTGGAGAGGACGGTTTGGGTGATATTTTGAGATGATGTTGGTGATGTAGCTGGGAGTAGAGTTGTAGATGGCTTTATAGGTTCTTTTGAATTTTTTACTTGTTGGGTAAATGGAAGCCAGTGGAGGGGGTGGCGGACTCTTGTCCGTACGGTGGATGAGTCTGGTAGCAGCATTCATGGTGGACTGAAGGGTGGGATCGCCTGCTTAGTGGTAGGCCAACAAGGAAGGGAGTTACAGTAGTTGAGGAATTACAAGGGAGTGAATTGGAATCATTGCAGTTTGGCTCGTTAAAGGGCGAGTTTTGCAATTGTTGCGGAGGTTGAGTCGGCAAGATTTAGATAGTGGTTGGATGTGGGGCTGACCGGAGAGCTCAGGATCAAAGATTACACAGAGTACACTGGCTTGATGGGAGATGCTGACTTTAGTGCTGTTAATTGCGATGGAGAAGTTGGGGGTGGGGACAGGGGAAGGAAAAATTTAGCTAGATTTTGGACAGATTGCATTTGAGGAAGTGGTGTGGTATCAACGATATCTCGGTGAGTAATTAGTGATGCGTAAGGAGACAGAAGGGGTGAGCTGGGAAGTGGAGAGATTGGATTTCATCAGCATAGAAATGTTTTTGGAAGCCAAGGGAGTTTATCAGCTGACCCAGGAAGGAGGTGTAGATAAGAGTAGAAGGCGCCCAAGCACAGAGCCTACTTTGCTCCCATTCCTTTTGCCCAACCTGGGACATTTTGTATTTCTTGCAGTTCCTTTTAACTAGCCTTTCCAATGTATAGATTCAATTTTAAACTAGCTTTGCTCAACACTAGGCAGTTCACAACATCTGAAAGAAGGCCATATTCTCTACCACTTCAAAAGCTCAAGACAAAGTTTGTTTGTTCAAGAAACCCACTTTTATGGCCATAGTATCTCTAACATCTCTAAATTTTTTACTTTTATTTTTTTTTACTACCTGGTTGCACGGTAACAATCAAATGGCTAAATCAAATAGAAATGTTCTACAAACTCTAATGGATATGTCTGGCTGCTTTGAAGTCCTTAAAATTTAAATACGGTTCACTATGTGGCTAACATCTACTTTCCCAGTCACGATCAGGTTCATTTCATATCTGTTGTCTCTAGATCCAGGTTTGACATCCTCATGCTGGAACTCAACTTTTCTTCAATAAATAAAAGTGAAGTGACATTTGCGTAACTCTTTAGAAACCCTTACATGAAAACTAGGGATGCGCCGATACTAGTATCGGTGCAGATACCGAGTATTTGGGTGAGTATTCGCCCAAATTCTCAGATACCTTCCACGATACTGGAACTTCCAGTCAGAGGGATATTTCGATCAGTGCGATCAGGAAGCTGGGTGGCGAGTAAGGACCCGCATCCCGGTTTGCTGATTGGCCGGGGGGGCGGCTTCCCGGCCAATCAGCATGGAGCTTGCTCCCCAGCCAATCAGGAAGGCGGGTCATTACTCACCGCCTGGCTTCCTGACTGGCCAGGAAGCCGGCTTAATGCTGATCGGCCGGGAAGCCGGTTTCCTGGCCCAACACAAACTGGACAAACATGCAGCCGTCTTCCCGGGCAATCAGGAAGCAGGGTGGCATGTCATTACCCACCGCCTGGCTTCCTGATTGCCCGGGAAGCCTGCTGCATGCCAGAGGAAGTATCGGCGAGTACCGAAAGTATCGGTACTCTACCAAGAAACCGGTATCGGTGCGTCCCTAATGTAAACTAAAAGTTTCTGTCTGGAGTTAGCTTTTTAATGTTTGATTGAACATTGGTGTAGCTGGCTTCATTATTTTTAAAGCTGTTTTTGTGCTTCATGGTCCTGTTTTTTTTTTGTTTTTTTTTAATTCTTACATTGTCCTCTCTGCAGGATGTCCTTGACTCTTCTCCTCAAATGTACACGCCAATGACTCCCTATGATGACCTGAATATTCAACCAATTTCAGGAACATCCTATAGATCTGATCAGGACCAGTCCAAAGATCTTTCTGCAGATTTGGACCTGAGCTTTCTGCCTGATGACCTAAATCCTGAGCATGAAGAAAAGAACAACCTCACAGAATTACAGGATAGTGGGATTTGCTTGGATTCTTCTGGCCTCTCGCATCCGTACACCCCCTGTGAAAGCCGAGATGCTTCCAGCCTTCGCCCCTTGCCCATCACTCCCATGACACCCATGACTCCAATGACTCCTGTAGCAGAGTCCTCTGGGATTATTCCTCAGTTACAGTACGTTCTATGACCAGGTGGTTTGTGTGAAATGCAAAGCCAAATGATGGGGAGTGACGTTGTAAAAAGTCCCTCAGTGAGGGCAGGGGAAATGCAGTGGTTAAAGCAGATGACAACCCAACATTTTGGTAAACTTGGAGTTCCTGATTGGGATTATGCATGTAGATTGAATTGTGACTTTGTTCTAATTTCACTTGCTGCATGATTGTACTAGGTGAGTGACTCCAAACACTACTTGCATAGGACCATGCATAATTAAGTCAGTGACTCCAAGCACTGCTACCTAGAGACAGCCATGCAACTGGTATTTTCAGAGATTTGTTAACGGCTAGTCTATATTTTATTTTTAGTTTGTTTGGTATTTGTGCTTTCTAATACATCACAAAGAATTCTAAGAGCACTTTGGGTTAGCCAAAGAGCTAAGAATTTTGCTTGGTCTAACAAAGGGTGTGAGTCCTTTTGACTGCCGAGAGCTTTGTAAACTATTTGTTACTTTAAGCAAAGTTGTAAAGTTAAAAACCTAAATGGCTAACAAAATGTCACCTGCTGGCTCAAGACTGTAATATTTTCATTTAGCTGGACCTGCTTACATCCCAAACCTGAGGCATAGTTGTAAACTAGCCGCACAGTAATGAATGTGATTAGTTAGCGTGAAGACTTAAGTAGAAGTGTGAATGGGGGCCTGTCTGTCTTATTTTGCCTCCACCAAAATATGCAGCTATGGTAAGCAAGACCACCTAATGATAAATATGGAGATGAGAGGATGAGTTGTTATCGGGTGAGTTATTTTGGTGATGTTGGGATACATCGATCAGCCTGCTCTTGCTTTCCTTTTGGCTCCGAAAGGGATAAGAAATAGGGTATTGCTAGCAGATGTTAACCATGCTAAAGGCAATTTAAAAACCGTGGGGCTTGCTGGTTCAATAGTAAACATCAAGCTCCTCTTTCATGACCACTTATGGTGGCTCAACCCTGAAACCTTTTAACTCTTCTCTTTATATAAAGCTTGTATTAGTTTCAGAACAACCCACACATTTTGTTTAGTTAACAAAACTTTATTATTCTCTAAAACTTGTTTTGTATGTTTTAATTAGAAAATAATAATAATCTTAATCTTTACTTTTTTTATATTACATAAAGATAGCAGGATTAAGCCACTATAAGTAGTTATGAAAGAAGTTCATTTGAACTACAACAATGCTGAAAACCCCTGCATTTTAAAGTGAAATATAGTATTGTTGTACAAGCTGATGGTAAAGCATATTAATCTGACCCTCTTCTTTACCCCTGTTGCAATGAATCAGTTACATTCTGTTTTTTACTTGTGCAGATCTACCTGCCCCTGTGACAGCTGTGTGCCTGACTGACCAATAAACGAGCTTTAACACCGTCACATGGGAGAAAGGGAAGAGGGTCGTATGCTCCCCTGTACACAAAATGCCAGATATTTTCATTCACTCCTAGTGATCAAATGGGACAAATGATAGTCTGTAAAGCTGACAAAACAATTTGTGATTTATTTTTTTATTTAGTGTAAAAAAACAAATTCATTTATATTATACTGGAATTCAGATACCATTGCCACAGACAAACCTTGTGTTCTTCCTGCAGGAATATTGTGTCCACAGTGAATTTAGCTTGCAGGCTAGACTTAAAGAAAATCGCCTTGCATGCCAGAAATGCAGAATACAACCCAAAGGTGACCTTGCGTGTAAAATTACACTTCCATATATAGGATGTTAATTTACTATAGCTTTTTTGTTGTCTTGACCCTAGAGATTTGCAGCAGTTATAATGAGGATTCGGGAGCCACGAACAACAGCACTTATATTCAGCTCTGGGAAAATGGTCTGCACGGGGGCAAAGAGGTAACGTAGGATGTTTAGTCTAATTGCCAGTGTAGAATGTAGAATGTTTGGGGTGCCTTGATTTTATGAGACCTATGAAAAAAGGGCTACTTTTTAGGATTACATTTTCTAACTTGCTTACCAGTCTGTACCAAAATGTTAGATTTAATTTAATCTGTGCTTATTCTCAGGAAGGAGTAATTGTTTTGCTTTTCTTACAGGGCTAATTTATAAAAACTAGAGCAAAGAAATGTGAAACTGTTGCCCATTGTAACACACATTCCATAAGTCTACCTCTGCTATGCATTGCATTAATGCAAGTTAAAGTGACGCTAAACTCTGGAGTTGATTCTTAAAAATACATTCAAGTACCTTAACTATTAACAAAAATGTATCTTGTGTATCACTCTACTGTAGATCCTCAAATAATCTCTGAATTCATGCTGACACTCTCCTTCTGGAGGGTGACTACTTTTGTTCCCCATGGTACCGGTGCATGTTGAAAAGTAGCCAACCTCCAGAAGGAAGGACAGTATCGGCATGGATTCAGAGCTGAATTCAGAGATTTGAGGTTCTACAGCCAGGTGACACACATAGGGTCCAGTTTTAATAATTAAGGCACTCCAATGCATTTTTAAGATTTTACTCCTGAGTTTAGTGTCACTTTAAGGTGCACTGCTTTAAGGCAACCTATTCATCTTGAATGGGTTAGCATTGACAAAAAGAACATTACCCGTATTACCCTTCTAAATGCAGCGCTCCACAAAGCAGAGTAATTGAATTGCCTGTTAATTTAACAGCGCGATGGGGGTACCATTCCGACATACCATGGTTTGCACATTGCAGTAACGCATAAAGATTTGAATGGGAGCCAAAGTTTTGCAACTGTAGACAAGTTTGGTAGCTAATGCATGCTGCAGTTTTGTATCTTTCCAAAGATGAGAACTCCTGTTGAGGGAATGCCTATAGCTAGAGCTCTGTGCCTTTTTCTGTGAAAAGCAGGGAGTCCATAAGTATGTGATGGAAATTCTAGGGCATTCTGGACAGAGTATTGTCACATAAAGTGTGTGTGTGTGTTTCCAACAAAACGCTAGTTTCTTTAATATACCTTCAAGCTAGCATTATTCAGAAGGTAATTGTTTGACAGTGAAGAGCAGTCCCGACTGGCAGCAAGAAAGTACGCTCGAGTTGTACAGAAGCTGGGATTCCCTGCCAAATTTCTTGACTTTAAAATCCAGAACATGGTTGGAAGCTGTGATGTTACGTTCCCCATACGTCTAGAAGGACTAGTTCTTACCCACCAACAGTTCAGCAGGTAAAATTAGCTTTTATATTGAACAGTCACATTTATGCTGCTAATATTTCCCTGGAATCACATTTTTGGGTTTGGCTATGCTTTAAAAATGAGGAATTCTATATTAATTTACTGTGGTCCCTGCACATCTGGTCCCACACCATTGTGTTTTACACTCCACTTTGAAGGTCCTAGGAGCCACAGCCCCATGCTTAATGAAATGGCCAGTCATTCCTTGCATTGGGTTGGAGAGGAGTCCAAATGACCGGAATAAATTATGCAAATTGTTCTGAGTTCTGTTGTGATTTTGTCCATTTTGGTCATTGACTGAACAGAACTGACTCTTTGCATCTGCATGTCAACTGAGTAATGATAGGTCAGCAGCCTATGTATCTCTGGCGACAAATTCTTTTGTACATCCACAAGGAAAAACCTAGAACCTAAACTAGCACAAAACTCAAGTTGCTGACAAATGTGCAACTGACTATAGTAGCATTTGGATCAGCATGATGGGTCAGATATGTTTTAAGAAGGTTGGTAATATGTTGGTCTCTTTTTAGAGCTCCATTTTAAAAGTCAAGGTGTCTGAGTGCATTTAATGAATTTAAAGCGTTGGGTGATTTCATAATGTTGGCTAGTATACCAAAGGCTTTGCTCCGCATTAAAAATACAAATAAATTTAAAGTGCATTTCCAGACAAAATTCTCATTCTAGGTAGTCATTGGTTAGGTTTTTAGTGCCTATTTGTGTAATTTTATTAGGAGATTCAGTCTTGGTGACAGTCATTGGAAGAGACGGTAAGGGGTACTCCAAACATTTTACAGTTGGAGAGAGGGGGGAATACCCAAATGGTAATGTGTTCCAGTGAAAACTGTTGAAGACTGACAGGATTGCTTCTAACTTTTGGGCAGGAAGTGAGACCTAATCTCCCAAAAGAGACCCGGACAGTAATGCGCAAAATTGCAACTGCCTTTTACTGGTATTAAAAGCAGTAATGCTACAAAATAAACCAGTGCTGAAATGAGTCAGTATTGCAGAATACAGCATTCCAGCATTGTGCCAGGGAATGCATGTAAAAAATCCATTGCTTGCTGAGTTTTAAACTTTTAACTATTTTTATTTGGAATTGTGTGCACTGGTTAAATGTGCTTAATGTATTTTGAAAGGTTCTGTAGTTCATATGTGAACGTTTCTTCTAGTTATGAACCCGAATTGTTTCCAGGCCTCATATACAGGATGGTGAAACCAAGGATTGTACTGCTCATTTTTGTGTCTGGGAAGGTGGTATTAACTGGTGAGTCATTCAGCAATCAAGCTATGCATATTTGCTACTTAAGGGAGGTTTCCATTGTCGGAGGGAGTGGTGGTGGTCAGTAGTGCAACAGACTGCATTGATTTGTGCTGCTTTGCTGGCCACTGGAGCTTACACTTTTGCCAATTGCCTGCAGCAGCAGAGTTTAATAGGCTTAGGGGGTGGATGGTGGTGTCAGGTTAGTCTCTAAGCCATAGATGGTCAAACTATAACTCTTTTGCCTCGAGTTGTACCTGCAAGAGGGAATGAAGCCCACTGCCAGTAGTGTTTTTTACATTTACGTAGTAGATGCACAACTAATTTTAGCATACTATGCAACTCTATCCAGCATCTTGGCACTCTACTTGGATACTTCTAGGGAATAGATTTACAACCTTCTTCATAAACAATTCTGCCCATATAAAATGGGGGTAGGTGCTTTCCCGAATGGTAATACTACTTTACATAGACTCAATTTTTCAAAATAAAGCTCAACTTTTTTTTTTTTCTTTTTCTTTCCAAATGCTGATTTTGTATGCAAGTAATTTATTGAATGCTGCTCCTTGATGGTTAAAAGTTGGTTTCCTACAGAATCAGCTGGTCCCCTGAGCACTGATCCTGTTTTAGGGAGGCTCCTTTCCCTTGCAGGGTCCTATGGAGCCACCCTTGTGTATGCTAGTAAGCTGTGTCTCCTCAGGCAAGGCAATCTATTCCCAGTCTCCCCACTCCTTCCTGTTTCTTACTCCAAACTAGTAGATGGGACACCTGCTGTAGATCGACCCTTTTGTTATCTTGTACTGGACAGGAAGTTCAGGGAAGCTGAGCTGAGTGTTGATGCTGTTGGGAAACTTGAGGATTGCAAGTGTTTGGGCTAAAATGTAAAGAATAACTATTTTTGCTGGGCAATGTATATTTGTTCTGGATTCATTATTGAAAAACAGTTTCAGAGCTTAATACTGCTTTATCCTTTTGATTTTTATGGTCCAGGCCTATTGATGGCTAGACCAGTATTTGGTCTAATGTCTGTAGAACCTAGTGACATAGTTTTTTCGGCTAGCACGGGTGTGTAGGGTGAAAAGGTCCTGTTATGTAATGCTATTAAATAAATTTCTTCCTCTGGTGTTTTTTTTATAGGTGCGAAAGAGCGTTCTGAAATCTATGAAGCATTTGAAAATATATATCCGATCCTGAGAAGTTTTAAGAAAACTTAAGTGCCTCGTTCCAAGGCAACTAATCTTTTTGTATGTTATTTATGTATATAGTTAATTAAAAAAGTGTGCTTTGTAATATTTGTTTGGCACTTTTGTTTGGTGCACTGTCTACAACAAACTGGACTAGGATTTAATAAAAATACAATATATAAGCACTGTGCGCATGACCACATCTTTAAAGTGGACCTTTTACACCCTTTCATTAAAAATCACCTCCAGCATGCAGCTCTGAATGATCATATGAAATCATCTTATGTTCATTAGTTAAAAAAAAAATGTTCTTGGTTTTTCAATTTCCTGGTCCTCTTGGGCATTAGTGATGTAATGTGCCCAAACATAGCATCCTGGTAAGGTTAAATCGGCAGAGCATTACTGGGAAATCTCTTCTGTAATCTCACAAGATCTCAAGGAAAGGCATTTCCTCTCCTGAGATGTGCATGGTCACATGTCCTAGTCGCAGTTGCCAGAGTTCCAGCAAGTAAATGTATATTAATATGCCCTGAATTCCTGTTTTAAGACCTCAACATGAAAAATAAATGGAGAGTCCTCACAATACATCAGTGCACTGTGACATCCGCTCCATGGTCATTAAGAGATAGCCTTGTGACATTTCAAGGATTCCGATAGCATGCATTTTACCAAAGACGTTAACTTTGTTTTTTTCTAACGCCCTGCAAAACAAAACAAAATAAGTATTCTCTTAACCCATCACTCACACACAACCTTCTTCATGTGACACACTTTGGGTTCCTGGTCCCTTAGGCCTCATTCACACTGCCGCGCATATACGCGTGTATTGCAGCATTTGCAAATAAATGGCTCCATACACATAGCTGCGTATGGAGCCGTATATTTGTGTAGCGTAAAAATGCGCAAAAACAGAATGGAACTGAGATGCGTCCGGGCAGCGTATTTCTGTGTGTACACGTCTGCAGTTCATTAAAATTTGTATTACGAATGATGCATTCTGGGATTGCATATAGATGCGTATACATACGCGCATGTACGCAATATGCAATTTTGCTCTTGCGTTTTGTGTGAATGAGGCCATACTGTGGTTTCTGTCAGCCCCATATGTAAATACTCTCGTGACATATGGTGGTGGGGGATTAGGTGTACGTGTTCTTTAGGACATATGAAGATTCTGCTGCAAGTCATGGTTCATGGAACGAAAATTTGCAGCAGGTTATGACTCTTGATCAGAGCAAAGATTTGTGTGTGTCCACTACAAAAACCACTACATTTAGATCCATACAGCAGGTATAGTGTGTGTTGGTTTTTTTATTTTTAGAGATATGAACACAATACTATTTGGGTCCCATGCACAGAGGTGCATTGTGCTCCATAATCTTGCACGACTAAAAATAAAAGTAGAAAATTTGGTGCCTGCAGTCAAAATCTCTGAAGAATTTGTGTAACAGCATGTACAGGCTGGGAGTGAAAACGGAGCTAGAGGAATGAAAATACATTTTTGGAGGTTTATGCATCTAAAATTGCGTAAATGGAAGTCCTTTACTGTTCACTACGTGTGTATCTGGCAAAACAAGAGACCGAGTGCTGGAGGGTTGGGGTGAATAGTGGTGCACATAGGACTCCAAGCTGAGGTGTATTTAATGGCTGAAGGATACTGATATCACCACTGGCTGATGTCACATGGTCCTTGGCACGTAGGGACAGTCCCTGGGAAGTCTGATCCATTCCCCTGCCTGCCCACCTTATTTTAACTACAGCAACAGTATGGCAGAGGGTGGGGGAGCAGGTTTGCACAGAGGCACACTCCAGATCCAGTTCCTTTTTATCCACTGACTGCTGGGGCTCCCAACCCTGGATAAACATAATGAGGGGAATTTATCAAAACTGGAGCAGAAAGAATCTGGACCAGTTGTACATAGCAACCATCATATTCTCTCTTCAGTTAAAAGAAAGAAGCTGATGGGTTGTCTTGGAAAGCTGCACTAGATTTTGGCTGCTCCAGTTCTGATAAATTACTCTAAATGTGGCCATGGTATAGGTAGACTGACCTAGCTGCACCTTGGAAACGCATAAAGCTGTACGGTGCCATAATATACAGGACAGGTCGTGTAATTGTATTACATCATTATGGGATGTATCATTTTACTTCCAGCTCTGGGACCGTTCCATATGATACAGGACAGGTACCAAACTACCGCTGTGATGGACCCTTGGGGCTTGTGGTAATGACTTCAGAGCAAGACACTTCTGAGATCATTCTGGATTCATTGACAAGTACATCAAGCATGTTTTAAATGGGTTTTACATTATAATAGACATTTAAGAAAATGCAAAACCCATTTAAAGCGAACAAAAGCCCACTGACACCGACCCATAGTAAACTGGCCCTCATGCCCTTACTAAGCTTAATCCTAATAATATAATTAAAAAAACTTTTAAAAAAAGGGAAAATTGATGAAAAGGTTAATAAAATCAAAAAACTTCTATAATCTGTTTACAGCTCATTCAAACCCCTCCCACCTCCCTCCAATCGCTGCTCTTCCATTGGTTCTATGGCCCCAAGTGAAGGATCTGGAGTCACGTGACAGCGCCTCTGCTCGGCCAGTGACGGTGCCCCGCCCCCTTTTCTCCCAGCATGCCTTCGCTTGAAAACAAAGTCCCACGTGACAGCCGGTGAGGCGGCGCTGTCATGGTGTCCCCCGGTGGGAAAGGAGCCCGGAGCTGGCAGGATGTGGCGGGCGGAGGGAGCCCCCGGAGAGACGCGGAGATGGTGCACTCGGTGGAGGATGGGGGGGGGCTGTATGTGGCTGTGGAGCGCTGCCCGCTGTGTAACACCACCCGCCGGAGGCTCACCTGTGCCAAGTGCGTCCAGAGCGGGGACTTCGTCTTCTTCGACGGCCGGGACGCCGAGAGGTGAGTGCGGGGGAGAGCTGCCTGGAATGGCTGTGAGTGGTCACTCTTCTCCGGGACGGGGAATGTGATTGTTCTAATATGGGGAGATCCTGCACCTTGTGAACCCCAGAGGGACCTTATTGTGTACCCTGAGAGGAAATAGTTCGGGTTAAAGGTCACTGTGAGTTTGTTATTGTTGATTGTGGTACATCAATCATCTCCTACCGATATTGATGAGCAATCTGCCCCATGATCAATAGATTGAAGGCGTCCATACTCCTTACCCAACAGACCTGACAAAGGATTTGTATTTCTGCAAAGCACACCCCTGTCTGGGCAAGGGAGGAGACCTGTTTTGTTTTTTCTGCAATTAGGTAATACTTCCAGATCTTGTCCCTCCCCCAGCATCTGATTGGCCAGTGAAAGATGAAGCAGTGGACTGATGAGCTCATCTCTCTGCTCTCTCCTATCAGCATGCCCCTTGATAGCACATGATTGGCTCCTCGTGCTGCTTCTCCCTCTCTAAAGCTGAGCTCTGCTGTACAGTAAATGCAAGAGGCTGATCAGACTGATGTACTTGCATTTAGATCATATTTAATGATGTATTAATAAACACAGAGCTCCATTACACTGTGTCTTATATATCTGCATGGAGTTTAGCTTTCAATCCAAACTGAAGGAATAATCTATTTTCTGCATTTACATTGGGCCAGTTTTGGTTACCTGTATTATGACACATCCGAAGGGCTCCAGGGGGGTCTCAGAATCGCCATCGTAGCCTGTGCCACTTGGAAGAAGAGCCTTTTGGAGGCGTCACCCGGCCAAGTGTCACCAGTGCACGTCAGTGATGTCGCATGCACTTCACTGTCGGCGGCCCTCTTGGTGATGGATGCTGGCGATGAGAGGAGGGGACATTTATGCGGCAGGATAAGGTATGCCCCTGGGTCCCCTCCTCTCTCGTCCATGTCCGAGTGCCTGACCTTTTAGAGGGGGTGACACCTAGATGACCCTCTGACGGTGTCACCTGGTGCTGGCTGAACCTGGGGGGTGAGGGGGTGTTGTGTCATTGGCATTTTTGATAGCTACAGGTAACCAAACTGGCCCAATGTAAATGTTAGAAGATAGAAGTATTGAGACAGTAAAATGTACTCTTCCTAACAGCTTGAGAACGAAGCGATAACAAACCACTGATCACTCCTGGATCGTGACAATATTGTTGTGATCCATCCTGGCTGCAGCGCGGCTCTGCAGTGTCGGCATATAGCGGGTAATAGCTGGCTATATGCTGACTTTGGGTCACAGGAGGACATAAGTAAATTCACACCAAACATTCACAGGTAATTAATCATTCTGTGTAATTTTAAACACATGCATCAAGCATATTCACCAGCAGAGAATGTTTGGTGAATGTCACATCTACTATGTTATAAATATATCCCTTTGTATTCATAATGATTATTTTTTCTTGTGGATGGTTTATTGACACTGTTAGACGGGCGGGCAACTCCAGCCCTCCAGCTGTGCTTTAACTACAAATCCCAACATGCCTCAGCCTCTATGAGTCGTGTCAGTCTTGCAATGCTTCATGGGATTTGTACTTTCACAACAGCTGGAGGGCCAGAGTTGTCCACCCCTGCTGTAAGGGCTCATTCACACCACCTAGGAAGGAAAATAAAAAAGTTTTATGTACCCCGAACCTCTGGAGGAGCTTGCTCTGAGGGCCAGTTCACACCATATGCAGTTGTGGTGCAGTCCGTTTATTTGACTGCTGCAGTCAAAATACATCACAATGCTTTCCTATGGGCTTTCTTGAGCTTAATTCATGCTGCAATGGTGTGTATAAAGCACAAGAAAGCCCATAGGAAAGCATTGGGATGCATTTTGACTTCAGCAGTCAAATAAACGGACTGCATCACAACTGCATATGGTGTGAATTGGCCCTTAGACCATTCTCGCAGCCTCTCTCCCCCTCCGCTGCAGCGGTCTAAGATTAATAAGTCCAATAAACAGGGTATAGGACGCAAGGACACTGAGGGACATACCGGCGCTAGAGCGTAGGAGGTGATAAGCAGCACTGTCACAGCTAGCTCAGAGGATCGGGTGAGTATAGCTTTCCTCCCTAGACCAAAACGAACAGTTAACCCTTGCAGTACAGGTGTAGCCCCATTGCTAGGGCTAATATACATTTTGCCCACAGTTCCTCTTTAAATTGAGTTAAGGTGCCCATACACTGCCTGGATTATGGCCGGTTATTAATGTATCGGCGGAAATTCGCACAGTGTTTCGGCTCCCTTTCAGCCGGCATTCCTCAATCAGCTGATCAAAGGAGCCGCTGTAAAATCTTTGTGTGATCAGAGCAGGCAGCCTATGAGCTGCCCGCTCTGATCGGCCGGCAGCTGTCGGAATGCAACGCAAAAAGTGGCGACTCCTCGAACGACACCCTGTTTGTGTTGATGGAGGACTCGCGTCAATTTCTTAGTTGAGCACGCGGGTTAAGCAAAAAAAATGGTCATGCGTATTGCCAGCCTTGGTATAATTTCCTCCTGTTGGTGGCTCGGTGTAACGCGTTTTGTCATGCATTGGAACAATAACACACTGCACGTGCGATCATTAGTAGCTGTGTATTGTGTATAGTGAATAAACAACCGATAGATCCTCCTAATCGCCTTGTAATGATTATAGATTGTAGAGTAATTATAGTTTGTGGAAGCTCCAAAATGGGATTGTATTTGGATGACATAAGCAGGTGTTATATTATGATTGGTACTGGAAATACAGCATCCACGGGCAAAGGCGTCATAACCTCAGTGGGCAGGTCACATGGGAGTAATATTCACTTATTTATTTGGAGGAATCCTGGAGTGATGTTTTGTTTTCTGTCTGGTTATGGCATATAAATATTTATCTGAGCTGCCCCACATTCCTTAGGCCCCATTCACACTAAGCGACATACCTTTTGCAGCGGATCCGCACGGCCGGGATAGCGCAACTTTCGGGGCGACGGTAGCGCGACCTTCACCGTCGGGCTCCATTAAAGAATAGAAAAATCGCGCAAGATCCGCCGAAAAAAAGGGTCCTGCTGGAGCGACGGGCGACATGGAGCTAAGACAGCTCCATTGAATAGCATTGGCTGGCGACTTCTCGCGACATATCGCTGCAAAAATGCGCGATATCGCATCAGAAATCGTGCGATAAATCGCTTAGTGTGAATTGGGCCTTAGGCTTTGTCTAAGACTGGCTATGAAGACATAAATAGTGTGTACTGCTCCCCAATACATTTCCTAAAGGTCTCCCCCTCCCCAAGCTACATCTTATCAGCAACTCCTACACTGAAGCCTGTGCTGCTGACGGTCATGACTCCCAAGCAGAATAAATCCACGGTGCCAGGGCCCCAGTGTGCCTAACAATTAAAGGCCAGCCCCAGCTGAAACTTTATTTTTTGGGACAAATTAGAACCCTTTCTCTTTTTGTTGTGGTCTGCGTCCTGTTTGGGAGATTTCACTTCCTTGCTATTTGTCAGGAGTCCAAAGGAACAGGTAGTACGCAGAAATCTCTCCAACCAAGATACAGACAGAAATGAAAACAAAAGTTAAAAAAGAACTCCAGGTAACCTTCTAAATACATAGATTGGAGCTGTTCTACCTGCCACAGGATTTGTATATGTCATTTCAGTTCTGAACTTTACACCGCTCTGCCGCACAGCCTCATCTGGCAGAGCAGAAGACCTGACTTTTCTCTACTGCTGCCCAGAGACACTTCTAGGTCTTGTCCCTCCCCCAGCCTGTGATTGGACAGTGAGAGGACAAGCAACACACTGGTTTTTAGTGGATTTATACTTTAAAGCTGAACTCCAGGGAACTGAAAAAAATACCTGTGCAGTGGGACTCTCCCTGCAATGGAGTCCTGGCAGGGAAAAGGACCTCGGTTGCCTTGTCTCTGGCTCCCCTGACAGCCAGTGCTCACCTGTAGTCCCTCCAGCGCTGGTGCCGGTCTCCGATCCAGCGCTGACTCCTCTCTTCCTGGCACTTCTGTCCCACGGAGAGTGTGCGGGTGCACGCTGCCTCCATTGACTTAGCCTGCGTCTATCCTCGTCTCCCGGCCGAAGATCTAAACTGCGCATGCGCCCACCCCAAGATCCTTTGCGCCCGCCCCAAGAATCTTCAGATCTTTGGACGGGAGCGAGCGGCAGAGACGCAGATAAGTTTTAATCCTTGCATATATCTACTCCTTTAATCCTTTAACAGTATATGTGCATGACTTTGTCCTGCATGGTACATGGTGACATCACAGCTGCGACTGCTGGCCAGAGAGCCGAACGTTCCTCGTTGTGGAGAGAGGCGGAACTAGCATAACATTTCCGCAGAGCATATTTCAAACAAGACCCTTACACGCATTATGAATGTGTTGTTAGTGTATTTTATGATCTGATGATTTGATCTTCTATACACTGGAGGATGTTTATCTGTTAGTTCTGTCTTCTTTGCCAGCAGACAGGATGTGAGTTGTACATTCATGTAGATGTCAGCTTGTTGAGCCGCATTCCAATCTGTCTATGTCCTGTTTCCCCAGAGCCACACACATGGGATAAAGATCTTCTAGGGTGACAGTTTGTGCCACACCAATAGCTAAACCAAACATGCACCATCTGTATTGCCACAAGCAGTGGGATCAGCAATACATGTAAAATGGGCCTCAGCTGACATCAGTACTGATAATTGTGACTCATTAATCGCACAGTGTTCCTGGGTCTTGACATTTCCATCAATTATTGCTGAGCAGTTGAGTCCTTCAGTGTTTTAAGAGCGTGATGGACTTGAGGCAGCTGCTGCCTCCTCTGAGATATGAACTTATGTGCCTTGAGACTTGGGCTCCTCAAAATATAACACTGATGTGACTGGAAAGATTTAGACATTCGTTTGTCCCATGTGCCTTACTCTGTGCAGGAATGGCATGTTAAAGCCCAATTCTGGCCATTTGTTTAGAGCTAGAACTGAGGTTTATACTACTGTCTGTGCCTTGTTGTTGTCCCACTGATGCACGCCCCCCTTGTTTGGCTTCCATATTCAGTGTGAGTGAAAAGTTCCTCGTTACTCTTTTGAGTAAACGGTCAATTCTTTCAAGGATGGCTGTAGATTCAATACATTTGGGTCCTACTGCTTCCTTTTAATCATCTCCAGCCTCAAAGGCAGCTTCTTTATTAGCGTCTATGGAGAAAAGGCTGCGTCTGCTTAGTACATGCCGCCCTTCTGGCTCAGTTGAAGAGTACTGAAAGCTGCAGTCACACCTGAGCGTAGGCATTTATGGTCATTTTTGAAGCATTTTTATTTTTGTGGTTTAGTCTTTAAAAATGCTTATACTCATACTGGTGTTTCCAGGTGCTTCCATTAAAGACTATGGGACCACAAATACCCAATTCTGCTTTAAACGTAGCTCATGCACCTGTTAGTGCAGGGATGTCCAAACTGCGGCCCTCCAGCTGTGGTGAAACTATGAATCCCATGAGGCTTTGCAAGATTCTCACAGCCACAGACATGACTCCCGAGAGTCCCACAGACATGACTCCCGGAGAGAGATGCATCATGGGATTTGTAGTTTCACCACAGCTGGAGGGCCGGAGTTTGGACATCCCTGCGTTAGAAGTGTCTGAGCTACTGGTGCCTGAGTGGTTAACAGGGAAAAAATAGAAAATCATGGGATTTTGGTTGTTGGACCATTTTGTATGAATCAAAGTGCAGAGGCATAGTAAGTGCAGACCTTGGTTGGTGGAGGAGATAGCCAGGAGATATATATGGGATGGAGAGAGCAATGGGAGAAGGTGGCCGCAAGTTTATTTAAAGTGGAACTCCAGGAAATAAAACATTTTTGGGAACATAACAGCTCATATAAGATGCCCTTAATGATAAATGTTTAATGCTTGGATCGCTGCTGGTTGATGTACAAATTGTGTCTTTATTGATGCTGGATACTACAGGCCACATTCTTTAAGTGCTGCGACTGAAAGTACTGGGGATTGTGTCATGTAGTTGCCCTCTCATCTCACCTTGCTATTCACCCAAAGCCTTGTATTCTTTTCATGGAATGCAAGGCATACTGTGAATGGGCGAGGGGAGATCCTGTCCTTTACTCCACTCTGTTACCCTTAGACAAGGAGCATTGGGGGATGAGCAAGCCTGTTACACAATGGAACTGGTTCTGTGCTTTCCCCTTTTTATATTCTAAGTGAAATTACAGATGTTCATATGGCAGATTGTTTTTGCTGCTTTATGTGAAGAATTTACTTTGCCTTTCTGATACAAACTATTGTGATCGGTATGGATGCACCAATACCGTTTTTTTCAGTATCGAGTACCAGTACTGATATTTTATTTTCTATACTCCTGAATACCGATACCAGTGCTATGTGCCCCGATTATCAGCGGAGGCCGGATAGCCACACCAACACCTTCACAATCTCCTTTTTATCACACCCAGAACCTCAGGGCTACACGGAGGGAGACGGCATCCGGCCGTCCAGCCAATCTCACCGGGAGGCGTTATTAAAGATGAAGTGTATTGGGTGTTCTATCAAAAGAACACCGACTTCACTTACCAAGGCTGCCTAGCTTCCTAACCAATCAGGAAGCCGGTCGGCGGGTCATGAGGTGCCATCCAGCTTCATGATTGGTCAGGAAACCAGGCTGCCTACCAACAAGTGAAGTGGGTTTCCTACCCAAACAGAG